TTACACAATCATGAATTCAACTCACAACAAATGGATGATTTCTCAAATCGATTAACTAATGTAGAAAACGCTTTACAAGGTGTAAAAACTAATCTAAAAGGTGTAAAAACTGGTTTCCAAGGTGTAAAAACTGATTTAGAAGATGTAAAAACTAATTTACAAGGTCTTAAAGATAATGTAACAAATTTAACAACTAATGTTGAAGGTTTAACAAGTGCTATGAAGGATATGGAATCCTTGTTGAACACAGTATATGATTTATTAACAAACAACTCAGTGACGCAAGTCAATGAATGAATCTTGAACATTGTTGAAATAAAACATGTATTATATATTATTTATTTTAATAAAAGAAAAATAAAAGATGATACAGATAAATTAACATTTTTTCAAGTTTAGGAAACGATAAAAATCTTGTTAGAAATATTAATAAAAGGAGTTGAATTGAAAGAAAAAACAAAAAAAGAAAATCTCTGATAACTTTTGATTTAATTAATCATCTTATTGATCACATCAAAATGATTTCTTATGATTGCAATATAAATCTAGAATAAATAGAAATAGAAATAATATTTGATCAAATTGAAATATTTCTATCAAAATTGAAAAGAAAAGATTTATTTTCTTATTACCATTTTTAATGTTGAATAAAATATGAAGACAAATCAATTCTATGATAATGATAATTAAGAAATAGGTTTCGTATTAAAATTTTTGAGACTTTTCGGTATTTATAAGAATTCATTTGATAAAATAAATTGTATTATTTATGAATATAATAATATTTCAAAAATGTTAATGAAACAAGGGTATGGGTGTGGGTGTGGGTATGGTTGTGGGCGTGGGTGTGCGTGAAGATGAACATACCCACAGCCACACCCACAACCACACACCGCCAACACCCACCCACACACACTCACCTACAGCAACACCCACACCCACACCGACACCCACACCCACACCCACCCACATCCGCACCCCACACCTACAACCACACCCCATACCCACCCCCACCCACACCCCACCCACACCCACACCACCCACACCATACCCACACCCACACTCACACCCAACCCACACCCACACCCCACGCCCACCCACATCCAAATCGCACCGCGCCTCACCGCGCTTCCGCGTGCCACTGCTCCCGCCTAGGCGCTGCGCACATCTCTCTTTCTCTTTGCTCTACCAATCAGTTTCTCAAACTCCACCGAATACCGGGATGCTCTAAGCATGCGCTCATCGAAGCTCAGACTAATGTAGCGTAGGCGTCAGCAACGGCGCGGGGAGGCGCGGTGCGACTTTGTCCATCTCTGGCGCACATCATACCAATTGATATAATGGCAGTAGTTTACTTGGAGTTATCAGATTGATAGTAAAAATTGCTTTTATTAGTTTATTGTTTTATTTTCTAATAAAATAATTTTTATAGTTGTCACTAGAACAGCCATATTCTTATTTAGGTGAATGTTCTCTACAAATATTTCTTACGTTCTACATGATTCTATTGGTAAACGCATTCTTCAATCGAATTGTTATATTCACTAACAACGCTACATCGTATTATGAGGAAATGATCTTTCTATTTCATTCTTTATTTTTGTAATCTGACATTCATAAA